AAAAAAAAACTGAACAAAATAAAAGTGTTGTGTTCATCTATAACTAAAAATATTTTTCAAAAAAATTATGCATGCTATAATGCAAATCAGTATTAATCAATGGTGATAATTATCCTGTCACAAAATGTGCTCTTGGGCTGGGATTGTAGCTCAGTCGTAGAGTGCTTGCTTAGCATTTGTGAGGCACTGGGTTTGATTTTCAGTACCACATATAAATAAACATAAAATAAAGATCCATCAACAATTAAAAAAATATTTTTAAAAAAACTCTTCTTACTTTTAGTTATTAATGTTTAGAGAGATGGAATTTTTCCCCTCAGTACTGGGAATGGAACCCAGGGGCATGCTAACATTGAGCTACATCCTCAGCCCTTTATTTTTATTTTTAGACACTGTCTTACTAAGTTGCCTAGGCTGCTCTCAAGCTTGCAATCCACCTGTCTCAGCTGTAATCATAAGCATGCACCACCATTCCTGGCTAGTAAAAATATCTTAATACAGCATAATATAAAACATTGAGGATTATTTCTCCTTAAAAAACTCGTAAGGTTCTGGGCTGGGGTTGTGGCTCAGTGGTAGAGCACCTGCCTCGCACATGCGAGACCCTGGGTTCGATCCTCAGCACCACATACAAAATAAACAAGTGAAATAAAGGTGTTGTGTCCAACTACAACTAAAAAATAAATATAAAAAAAAAATCATAAGATTCAGGTGGGAGTGTATCTCATTGGAAAAGTACTTACCTAGCATGCAAGTAACCCTGGGTTTGATACCTAGCACTGCAAAACAAAACAAAACTTACCAGTAGTTTAACTTATAACTGAGCACCTTTTCTGTGTCTTAGAATATTGTCATGTTTATAAGTTTGGGTCAGTTTTTCATTTGTATGTTCCTTAAACTTTTTAGTCTTTGCCATAGCTTTTCCAGTATTGTGCTGACAAAAGATTATTTCAAAAGGAGTTTACAGCTGGTTTCATGTCTGTAACTCAAGTCTCCTTGAAATATCACCTTTGAACATTCCTGTCAGATTCAAGGACCGTCTTGGATTTTTTTTTATCTTTAAAATATGCAAGTAGGTCTGGGGATGTCGCTCAAGCGGTAGCGTGCTTGCCTGGCTAGAGTGTGGCCCGGGTTCAATCCTCAGCACCACATACAAAAAACAAAGATGTTGTGTCCACCAAAAACTAAAAAATAAATATTAAAAAAATTCTCTCTCTCTCTCTCTCTTTAAAAAAAAAATACGCAAGTAGACTCTTGTACAAAGGGTCATGAAAGCTACAGTTGATATTTCTACTTGTTCTGTACTAAAGAAGTCAGAGCTATTTTCGTAACCTGAATAATGGAAAGATTTTTATTAAACCATGACTATGTCCCCAATCATCTCACTAATACAGAGTTTTCAAATCATTGCAGAGGTAATTTTTGTATTTTTAAGCATATTTTCAAAATAGATTATTGACTGTCTAATTATCTAGAGAATGTAAAAACAAACATTAAACTGCCTTCACTTCAAAAGTGAAATAGGGGCCAGGGTTGTGACTTAGTGATAGAGTGCTTTCCTAGCATTTGTAGGGCACTGGGTAAGATTCCTGTCACCACATAAAAATAGATAAAATAAAGATAATGTGTTCATCTACAATTAAAAAATATATCTTAAAAAAGTGTATTATTTATATACCTGTGAAGAAACAATTGGCTGAGGAAAGTGGGAAGAATTGTGCAAAAAGATGTAGGGTTGAAAGAGGCTAGAGAAGCTGTCCACCTAATAGAAAAGAAATGCAAAGCAGGACAGGTCAGCAGAGTCCTAGCACCTTGACTCAGGATTTTTGGTGAATCTATTTAGATGATTCTGGGGACTGTGACTGTAGCTCAGAGGCAGAGTGCTTGCCTAGCATTTGTGAGGCACTTGGTTTGATCATCCGCACCACATAAAAATAAGGTGTCTATCTATAGCTAAAACAAATTTTTAAAAAAAAATATGATTCTGTGTCTACTAAATCACAAAACCACAGCCACTGCTTTAAACTGCTTGAAGTGTGGGAGGAGGCAAAACCATGACCCAAATCTCTGTTCTTTGCTATCAAAATCCTTTTTCTCAGGTGCCATTTACTAGATACAGCTGGGAGACAGACGGTAACTGGACTGTTTCTTAAATTTAGTGGTCATGTCATTCTATCTCTCAACTTTTATCCTCTCAACTACTTTGTGTGTGTGTGTGTGTGTGTGTGTGTGTGTGGTATGCAGAGCCTTGTGCATGTACCAGCTGATCTATATCCCCAGCCTTATCCTCTCAACTTCTATTTTGCTCCTTTGATACAGTCAGAGGTTAAGAATCCAGGAAGATGAGCTGTAATAGTTTTCACATTTTATTGTAATAAGTTACTTCATGCTTCTCTCACATATTAGACAGGATATTCCACGAGGGCAGATGCCGTATTATTCACTGCTAGATCCCTGGTACTTAGTATATGAATAAGTGAACCTGATTTATTATTTTAGAATGTGTCTCAAACTGTTTTAAATTTATTTTTCTCTTTATTAGATATGCAACCATTGTCTCCAATTTCTGTCCATGAACGGTACAGTTCTCCTACTGCAGGGAGTGCCAAGAGAAGACTTTTTGGAGAGGACCCCCCAAAGGAAATGCTAATGGACAAGATTTTGACAGAAGGAACAAAATTGAAAATTGCTCCTTCTTCAAGCATTACTACTGAAAATATATCCATATCACCTGGGCAAACTCTTCTAACAATGGCCACAGCCACAGTAACAGGGACAACGAAACATAAAGTTACAATTCCATTGCACGGTAACATTTTAATAAAGCACTTTAAAATCATATTTTTTTCTGAGTTAGGAAAAAATTTAAGCAGTGTCTTAGTGGATTTGGATCATGTAATCTTTCTAACTCAGCATTTTTTTCTCAAGTTTTTTTGTTTGTTTGTTTTTGTTTTTAATAGACTTGATTTTTAGAACAGTTTTAGGTTCACAGCAAAATTGAGAGGAAGATACAGACATCTCCATCATCACACACACACACCTTCCCAACCATCAGCATCCTACACTAGAATTCATTACATTTGATGAACCTACATTGAAACATCACCCAAAGCCCATAGTTTACATTAAGGTTCACTCTTGGTGTATTTTAACCATATTGATATATATTTACCATTATAGTATCATGCAGAGTAGTTTCACTGTCTAAAAATCCTCTGTGTTTCACCTTTTGTATTGAACCTGTACAGCTTTTGAATTTTTACATTTTTAAAATTTATTACCCTTTTTGTTAGGACTTGTTTTGTTGTGTCAACTTCTCAAATGAATGTATTGAGCAAGTATTTTGTATTTTGATTAAAAAAAAAAGACAAAACAGAACAAAATTTAAAATATAAGAACATCACAGGCACATACAAAAATGAGAACAAAGTTTGTTTTTCTAATTCCAGTATAAATAAAAGAAAATAGAATATTCTTATTTCAGGAGAGAAATGAAAAGAGAATTCAGTTATAAGATACAATTTCTTAAAAAAAAAAAAAAGAAATCTCAAAAAAAAAAGATACAGTTACTATTTTGTAATCTTTGTCTCCTTTCATAACATATTCCTATGCTAATATATACAGAGACATATATATGTTTATGTGTACATGTTTATATAATTGACAAACTATATACAATTGAAAACTTTCCTAGAACACATTGCTCATTTCTAAAACTGGGAACTCTTGCTCATACATTCAGGTGTTGCCAATGATGCTGGAGAAATCACACTGATACCTATTTCCATGAATACAACTCGGGAGTCCAACATTGAGAGTCCTGTATCACTTACTGCTCAGTCATTAATTGGTGCTTCTCCAAAACATACCCATCTGACTAAAGCACAAGAAGTTCATATGACTGGAATAAGCAAACCAAAGAGGACTGGGTCCTTAGCACTGTTTTACAGAAAGGTATGTGTTGTTATAGTATATGAAAAGAGCTCATTTAAACAATGCAAGATGAGAAAAACATTGACTTTTTATTTATTTATTTATTTATTAATTTTGGGGTAATCTACATAAGATAAAATTTGCCATCTTAGTTGTGTGGATGGTACACACCTGTAATCCCAACTACTGGGGAGGCTGAGACAGGCAATCACAAGTTTCAGGCCAGCCTAGGCAATTTAGCAAGACCTTGTCTTAGAATAAAATTAAAAGGGTGGAGAAATTGCAGTGATAGTGCATTTGCCTTGCATGCATGAGGCTCTGGGTTCCATCCCAACACTACCAAAAAAAATTAAAAATAAATGGAGATCATAGTTTTTTTTATTTTTGGTGCTGGGGATGGAGCTGCAGGGGAGTTCTACCACTGAGCTACCTCAGCACTTTTCATCCTTTTCATGTTTTACTTTAGACAGTCTCACTAAGTTGCCAAGGCTGTCCTCAAACTTCAAATTTGCCACTTCAGGTTCCCAAGTCACTGGGATTACAGGTGTATACCACTACACCCAGCCAACTTAAACTTATTTTTTTAAATTTTTTATTTGTTGATAGACATTTATTTATAATTTTTGTGTGTTGCTGAGGATTGAAACCAGTGCCTCACACATGCCAAGCAAGTGTTCTACTACTGAGCCACAACCCCGGCCCCATCTTAAACATTTTTGAGTGTATAGTTCAATGCTAAATATATTTATATTTTTCTGTAGCCATTTACACCATCCATTGCCAGAACTTTTCATCTTCTCACTCTTCCCTCCTCTCCCTCCTCTCCCTCAAACCCCTGGCAACCACCAACTTACTTTGTAGCTCTTTGAATGTGATTACTCTATATACCGTATAATCATATAATATTTTGTCCTTTTGTGACTGGCTTATCTCACTAAACATAATGTCTTCTATGTTCATCCATGTGGTAATATGTTAGAATTGCTTTCCTTTTTAAGGATAAGTAATACTTTGTTATATGTGTGTACAACATTCATCTGTCAGTGAACATTTGGGTTGGTTTCATCTTTTGTCTATTGTAAATAAAATGCTGCTATGAACACTGGTACTGTTTGAATCTCTGTTTTCAGTGTTATGGATATTTTCCCAGAATTGAAAAAAATAACTCAGTATTTAATTTCTTGAAAAACTACCATACTATTTTTCATGGTGGCTGTACTATTTTATATTTCTTTTAGCAGTACACAGTTCTCCTTGCCAATAGTTGTTATTTTCTGGACTTTTAATTTTTTTTAGCCATCTAATGGGTGTTAAGTAGAATCTCATTGTAGTTTGGATTTTCACTTTCCTTATTATTGATGTTAAGCCTCTTGTCATGGGCTTAGTGGCCTTCTATGTGTTGTCTTTAGAGAGATGTCTATTCAAGTACTCTGCCCAATGTTTTTTTGGTAAATTTGTCTTTTTTTCTTTCTTTTCTTTTTAGTTATAGAGAGACACATAACTTTATTTATTTTTATGTGGTGCTAAGGATCAAACCCAGTGTCTGTAAGTGCTGTACCACAGAACTACAACTGCAGCCCCTCTGACTAATTTTTTTTTTTTAATTTTTTATCTATTTTTATGTGGTGTTGAGGATTGAACCCAGGGCCTCACATGTGCTAGGCAAGCGCTCTACTGCTGAGCCACAACTCAAGCCCCATCTGAATAATTTTTAATTTTTTTTTAGAGAATTTTTTAATATTTATTTTTTTCGTTTTGGTGGACACAACATCTTTATTTGTATGTGGTGCTTAGGATCAAACCCAGGCCGCACGCATGCCAGGCAAGCGCACTACCACTTGAGCCACATCCCCAGCCCCTTTAATTTTTAATTTAATAATTTTTAATTCATTTTCTGGTTGAGTTATATGAGCTCTTTAAATATATTTTTTTAATATTTATTTTTTAGGTGTAGATGGACACAACTCAATGTCTTTATTTTTATGTGGTGCCGAGGATTAAACCTGGGTCCGGCCTGTGCTAGGCGAGCGCTCTACCGCTGAGCCACAACCCCAGCTCTAAATATATTCTTGATATTGATATTAATCCCTATCACATTCATAATTTACATAAATTTTCTTCCATTTTGTGAGTCGTTTTTTCATTTTGCTGGTAATATCCTTTGATGCATTAAAAAATAAAAAAGGGCACAGGGCATGGTGGCACATGCCTGTAATCCCAGCAGCTCAGGAGGCTGAGGCAGGAGGATTGTTCAAAAGCCAGTCTCAGCAACTTAGCAAGGCCCTGAGCAACTCAGTGAGACTCTGACTCTAAATGAAATATTTTTTAAAAGGATGGAGATGTGGCTCAGTGGTTAAGTGCCCTTGGGTTCAATCCCCTGTACCAAAATAAATAAATAAAATAGGACAAGCAATGTAGCTCAGTAATAGAGTATTGCTGTGTTCAATCTACAGGACCACAAAAAAATTAAAAAATAATAATAATAACTTAGGTTCTTTCTAGGGATTTTTTAGGTTTTTTTTGTTGTTGTTTTTAGTTATAGATGAACAGAATCTTTATTTTGTTATTTATTTTTATGTGGTGCTGATTTGGTGCACCAAACCTGGTGCCTCATGTGTGTGAGGCAAACGTTCTAGCCATTGAGCCACAACCCCAGTTTCTAACTCAACTCAAAATAATTGCTCCTACTTTAGGTATCAAATCTGCATTCCAGTGGCTGGGGTTATAGCTCAGTTACTAGAGTGCTTACCTAGCATGCCCAAGGACCTGGGTTCAATCCCCAGCACCAACAAGGAAAAAAAATATGCATTCGCTCTTACCTTTAGAACCCTTCTCAGAAGTTATATTCACCAGTGTTGCTTAGAATTTTCAGGAGGGCAAGTGGCAAGAGTTTTTTGGGGTTTTTTTTGTTTTGTTTTGTTTAAAATGAAAGGGGAGGAAAGAGTATTAACTCTTTTTTTTTTAAAGAGAGAGGAGAGACACAGAGAGAGAGAGAGAGAGAATTTTTTAATATTTATTTTTTAGTTTTCCGCAGACACAACATCTTTGTCTGTATGTGGTGCTGAGGATTGAACCCGGGCCGCATGCATGCCAGGCAAGCGGGCTACCGCTTGAGCCACATCCCCAGCCCATGGCAAGAGTTTTATTACGTAGAAAAAAAAAGAGACCAGACACTGGAAAACAGTCCTGGTTTCTACAATAATGTTCATTGTCTTTTGTTGCTTTCAACTGTAATTATTTTATTTTTGTGCATTTTGGGGCAGTTGATTGTCCAGGTGATTTCGCACACAAACCTATGCTTTGAAGCCTTCCCCAGAAGCAGTGGCTCACACCTGTAATCCCAGCAATTTGGGAGGCTGAGGCAGGGGGATCAAAGTTTTGAGGCTAGCCTCAGCAACTTAGGCCTTAAGCAACTTAGGGAGACTCTGTTTCAAAATAAAAAGTAAAAAGAACTGGGGATGTGGCTCAGTGATAAAGTTACCTCTGGGTTCAATCTGCAGTACCAAAAAAATTTATTTAATTTTTTTTTAGGTTTTTTGTTGTTGTTGTTGTTGTTGTTGTTGTTGTAGATGGACACAATATTTTTATTTCATGTATTTTTATGTGGGGCTGAGGATCGAACCCAGTGCTTAATACCTGCTAGGCGAGTGTTCTACCACTGAGCTACAACCCCAGCCCAAACTTTTAGTTCTTTACTATCTGCTATGTTAACCTTTCTAACAATTTTACCTAAACCCAAAGAAAACAAACATAAACTCCTGAGCACTTGAAAAATTATGCATTCATAATGGTCATCATGTAGATAAACCCTACTTTTTAGTATTTCTTATTTTCTATGGTTAATAACATAGAATAACAAGTAGCATCTTTATAAAGTGTTTTTAGGGTCTGAGTATGTAGCTCATTCATAGAGCACCTGTCTAGCATATAAGAGACCCTGGGTTTGATCCCCAGCACCATAAAATAGGGGGAGGGGGAGTTTTTTCAAGTATGCTAAAGATCTGCTTGACTAATCCCAGTGGTTTGGGAGCTGAGGGAAGAGGATTGCAAGTTTAAGGCCAGCCTCTGCAATTTAGTGAGACCCTGTCTCAAAAAAGCACTGGTGTTGTAGTTCAATGGTAGAGCACCCTGGGTTCAATCCCTAGTCCCAAACTGGGGGTGCAAGGGTTATTCCAAAGAGAATTTCTCTTTAATCTTTATACTCTTGCCATAGCAGTTAACTAGTGTTATTGAATAGAAATTTTAAGTAAAATATCAGCAGCCTAGATATTGTTTTGTCTTGGTCTGTAAGCCCATGTTCAGTGGTAAAACATAAAAGCTTGAGAAATGACTCACTTAATTTTTTTATATCAATGTGTTATCTTATATCTTAGGTTTATCATTTAGCAAGTGTACGATTACGCGATTTATGTTTAAAACTGGATGTTTCAAATGAATTACGAAGAAAGATATGGACATGTTTTGAATTCACCTTAGTTCACTGCCCTGATTTGATGAAAGATAGGCATTTGGACCAGCTCCTTCTTTGTGCCTTTTACATCATGGCGAAGGTAAGCATAGAGAAGGTCTTGGCTCTAGTTACCTTATTTAAAATATCAAGCAAAAATTTCTTGAACTTGATCCTTCGTTTGCTTTTGTGCTACAAAACAACAGTACCCACTATTATTAAATAGTAATTTTAAGATACTCTAGTCCCTGGACTCTTCAGTTAGTTTCATCATAAACAGCTTTTCATTTCATAAGAATAAATCGGTCATAAAAGAGAATATATGAATAATGCCATTTCCACCCCTACTCCTTGACGTTTCTGATGTGATACTTATAAACGAGATGATCATTACATTTTAGGTGAAATAATGAGGCCCAAAACTCAAAATAATTTGGCCCAAGTTACACAGTAAGTAGCAGCCTAGGATCTCCTCACTTATAATCTAGTGTAAAATACCTTCTACACTAGCCTGATGTGGTGGTACACACCAGTAATTCCAGGAATTCAGGAGAGTGAGATAGGAGGATTACAAGTTTGAAGCCAGCCTCAGCAATTTAGCAAGGTTGTCTCAAAATAAAAAGGACTAGGGTTGTCACTCAGTGGCAGACTGCCCCTGGGTTCGGTCCTCAGTATTGCCCAAAAAAGGAAAAAAAAAAAAAAAACGCTTCTATATTTCTTTCTGGTATATTATCGTGCTGCCTCAGAAATACATTTTACTTTTAAGTTGCTACACCATGTTTTTTTCTTCATATTTATTTTTTAGTTGTAGTTGGACACAATACCTTTATTTTACTTACTCATTTTTATGTGGTACTGAGGATGGAACCCAGGGTCTCACACATGCTAGGTGAGCGCTTTACCGCAATGAGCCACAGCCCCAGTCCATGCTACACCATGCTTTAAGACATAAAATAGCATATTTTACTTGTTTTTTAAAATTCTGTATCTGAAAAATTTCTTTCTACTTTTGTCTTGACTGTAAGCCAAACCGTCAGTTCTAATTGATGTATAGTTGGTTTTTGGTTCCCCTACTTTTTTTTTTTTTTTTTGGTGCTGGGAATTGAACCCAGGCCCTTGTATATGCAATCCCCATATTTTAAATATTTTTAAATTGGTACATTATAGTTGTAGATAGTAGTGGGATTTGTTGTTACATATTTGTGCATGCACACAATACAACAATATAATTTGCTAATATCACTCCCCAGCACTTCTTCCTTCCTCCCCTTGAATACAATTTTAAGAAGTGATTTTTAAAGTAAAGGACTTGTTTTCAAACTCCTTTGTGAGCACCTCCTCCCACAATGCTTCTTTAAAAATCTCTGTACAAAATAGGTCTTAATAAATGTTAAAAACTAACCATTTCTATTTTCCAGAAAACTGTCAGAGTTCAGGTTTTTGTCATTTCTAGCTCATCATTGTAGACAGCAGGTTTAGTGCTAATAGACTGTGTAGCAGAGAAAGGTGTAATTTTAGTGAATGTTATATTAACAGATAAAACAAAATGGATTTGCTTTTGGATCACTAACCCATTTCATTTCTGTGAGCCACCTCTTGACATCTAAGTATTAGAAACCCTACTCTGTCCTGAAATGTTAAAAACCTAATCCTACAATAGCTATTCAGTTTTACTGTGAATCACTGTAAAACAGTTTCTATTATTTAATATGTAGTTAAATTACTCTTAAATAAGTACTTAAAACTAAGAAAACTGGAGACTGCGTGGCGTTCAGCAGGTCTGAGTTTTCTTATCTCATTCTTTTTTATAAAGAAATGCATTCTCAGTAGATTTATACCTTAGCAATTTCAGTGCTTTTTGATTAATGAAACTATTAACTGAGTCCCCACTGGCCATAAAAACCTGAACTTTAAAGGTAGTGAAAATCATAAATGTTAGTGGTTTTTAGTCATGGATTGCCCTTGGGTTAATGGCTTTTCTGCAAGGCTGCTCTCAGTGCCAACCTATAATTGAAGTTTTTGTTAAAACCATTTTTCTTTCAAAAGCCAGTTGGCAAATGTAGCTTTTTATTTCTCTTAGGTAACAAAAGAAGAAAGAACTTTTCAAGAAATAATGAAAAGTTACAGGAATCAGCCTCAAGCTAATAGTCATGTGAGTTACATTCTTTTTCCTACTATCCAAAAATAGATTTGTACTATTTTTTTTTTGCTAATGAGTTATATAAAAGATAAACCTCCTTTATAGTTTTACTGTATTAAATTGAGGATTAATTTATTTAACTTTAGATTATCTGGTTTAGTGGATACCATTAAACTCAAGAGCTAGTTTCATTAAAGGACAATTTTAGCAGAAGCTGAGAAGTCTTGTTGGTTCTGACTCATCCGAATGCTTAGATGTACTTCTCACAAGAACTGCCATTCTGTTTGTCCATTTCTTCTGGGGAGACATTTTGTACTAGGAAGTCTAGTGAAAGATGTATCATAATAATATGTCTTCATTATTTAAAACTTGATTCTCAGGCTGGGGTTGCGGCTCAGTGGTAGGGCGCTTGCTTAGCATGTGTGAGGCACTGGGTTCAATCTCAGCATCACATTAAAATACATAAATAAAATAATTGGGGCTGGGGTTGTGGCTCAGCGGTAGAGCGCTCTGGGTTCTATCCTCAGCACCACATAAAAAACTAAATGTTTGGAATAAAGGTATCATGTCCAACTGTAACTAAAAAATAAATACTAATAAATAAATAGATAAATAAATAAATAAATGTATCTTGTCTGTCTACAACTAAAAAAATCGTTTAAATCTTGATTCTCTGATAATGTTTAAATTTGGTGAAGTTTGAGGATTAATTTATTTAACTACAGCTTCTTCTACCATCTATGGAGAATCTTTACGTTTGCATCTTTGATTAGATGTTAAGCATCTCTGATAATTTATTACAATGGTTGTGATGAGAATCCAGTAAATCCTTTCTAGCATGGAAATGTAAAATGTTGGCATGGTACTCTGGTACATAGGAAGTATTTAATGAACTTTCAATTCCCATTGTTACTATTGCAGCAGAATACAACTTAAGGCTTTGGTCATTCAAGAATCTATTTGCTTTGCTGTTAGGTAGTATATAATAGCCTCCTTTTTGGCCCTGGAGGTCACACACAAGAAGAGAAAGTTAGGGCAGATAGTCATACCTCCTTGTAAGAGAATCTAAAAATAGTTTTACTTCTTTCCTGAAGCCCCAAAATAGACCAGTGGTGGGTAGTATAGATAGAGACTTGGAAAAGGCCAACTACAGGAATTTAAGTCTTTTGACAAACTAAACGTTTCTGGGCCTTTTCATTAGGAAAAACTCAGGAGCAGAATCTAGAGAGGTTCAGATGTCCCTAAAGATGTTTAAGATGAGTAATGTAGGTTAAAAATGGGCCTAGCCACTACTTTCTGAATATCTTCTCAAGATCAATTACCTAAAGGATAAAAGGAAATGGAACTTGTTTTTCCAGCTATCTTGGAGGTAGAAAAATCAGGGAGGAAAACAAATTTCCTTTTCTCCATCAGAAAGGAGATTGGAATGCTCTAGGGGCAACCCAAAGCTGGGGCTGTGGCTCAGCGGTAGAGCACTCATTTAGCATATGCAAGGTGCTTGGTTCAATCCTCAGCACCACATAAAAACAAATAAATATACTAAAGAAAAAGATAACTTAAAAAATGAAAATGAATTAAAAGAAAGAATGAGTTCTTATCTTTGAGGTGATTTTTATTTCATAAGAACCTGTTCATCAGACTAGCTACTTCTTAATTTTTCTTTTTTTATAAACTAAGATGGTACATTTTAGGTAATAGGCTCTGCCTTAGTATTTCTTCTTCCATGATGCTTGCCCTAGTCTACACTTAAGAGATTTAATAACATTTTACCTTTGATTATTACCCGTGTGACACATTTTTTTTAATTGGCTTGATATTTTGCTCTTGTTATTTTGATTTTGCTGAACATGTGCATCTTTGATTCAGCAATACTTTTCCCTCCCTTTGGCCCTTAGGTGTATAGAAGTGTTCTTTTGAAAAGTGTTCCAAAAGAAGTGGCATACAATAATATAAATGGTGATTTTGAAATGACAGATGATGGTAAGCTATCCATTTTGACATGTTGTATGTAATACACCTTTGATTATCTTGTACATCACATAGTGGATACCAGGTAACACAGAGTCATGATGTAGGTATGGTGGGAAGTACACACATTTTTTAAAAAAGAAATAGACAAGCTAGATATGGTGACTCTGGCCTATAGTCCCAGCTACTTGGGAGGCTGAGATGGGAGAATCACCTGAGCTCGTGAGTTCAGGATCAGCCTGGGTGACATAGTGAGACTCTGTCTCAAAAAAAAAAAAAAAAAAGAAAAGAAATAAGTTTGAGAAAAAGAATGTGTCATGTGCTTTCTTCCACAGAGATCATTAATTTATCCTCTGTAAACTGCGTTTTGGGTGAAGTTTTCTACTGTAAATATATACATTAATCAAACATAAAAGATTCTTAAAATTTAAAAATATGAATGACAGGGAAAACAGCTGTCCATGATCTTCTTGAGGAGCCAATTAAAGAAATTACCTGTTTATAAGTCCCTAGATGTTTCTGCCACTACAAGCAAGATTGCACCCTGTTGTCACCTTATGCACTATGCTAAGATTTATATCCTTAAAAGAGCTGTTATCTCTGTGTCCCGTATCTTTGTTCTTTTGCATAGTGAGCAGAAGTTCAGATAACTCGACTTAGGAATTAATCTTCCTTCTCCTGTGGTTGGGAAGGGGAAAGGGAGAAGAAGGATGAATAAATATGTCAGTTTTAAAATAAGTTGCCAGTGGTCTAGCAGCAAAGCATGAAGTGGACTCCATTTTGTGAAAGGGACCCCTGTTACAGTCACACTTAATAAATGATCACTTCTTTCATTACCAAAAACCCATTTCTGATGTTGATTATATTAATTAGCAAAGCATTGTTCATTGTTTGAGATATGCCTAAGACCAGCCCTGTGGAGAATGAGCTACCTGATGAACGTATTAGCCCCCCGACTCGTGGACTGTGAATTCTTCACTGCCATGTTAGCATACCACCCCAGGCTGGCATTCTTGATTTGAAGACTTATGAGGATTAAATTATGACTTAAATAACATAATAATACTCAAGTAGATATAGTAAATTGAAAATTTTACAGTATTTACTTAGGACTTGTTAAAAAGAATTACAGAATTTAACATAAGGCTTGCCTACAGTAATATCTCAGTAAATAGCAACTTTTATTTACTATTTTGTTTATAAGCAGTGTCAGATTTATTGTATTTTGGGCTGAGGTTGTAGCTCAGTGGTAGAGCACTTGCCTAGCATATGTGAGGCACTGGGTTCAATTCTCAGCACCATATACAAATAAAATAAAGGTCCATTGACAACTAAAAAAATGTATATTAAAAAAATTATTATATTTTGTGAATGAATATGGTTCGTTGTCCTCTGTCCCCCATCCCCTTATACAGCTAGGTAAGTGCTTTATCCCTCAGCTACATCTCTAGACTTTTTTGTTATTTTAAAGGCTAATTTTTTAAAGAGTAATTTAAGTGTGGTCATTACCAAGTCTTTTAGAATGCAGTTTCTCATTTGCTATGGACATGACCATAAAAATATTCCCACTAGGTTTTCTATCTGCTACCTTGCCAACAATAAACCTATTTGGAACATTTTTATTAAATTGTACTTGTTTTATTTCATTGCCTGGATGGACACATTGCAAGTCACATGGGATTATCTAATAGCTTACAAATAATTCAGATTCTCACCATGGTTAACACTTAGGTTTTTAGAGCCTTGCGAATGTGCTTTCCCCAGCTAATCCACACAATACTCACCCTACACCCCTTTTTTTGTTGTTATTTTTTGTTTGTTTCTTATTGCTAATGACCAGAGTTAGGGGTGCTAACTCTGAGATGGCTGGCTGCAGAACTCATTCTTGATTGCTCTATGATTATCTCTTGTATGTTCTTGTTATATAAGACTGATGGGACAACTTGATTAAACATCATTTCTTTTTAAAAGGGCATCCTTGAGGGCTGTGATTGTGACTCAGCGGTAGAACGCTCGCCTAGCATGTGTGAGGCCCTGGGTTCAATCCTTAGCGCCACATAAAAATAAATAAAAATACAGGCATTGTGTCCATCTACAACAACAACAACAAAATTTTTTTTAATTTTTTTCTACCTTTTTAAAAGAGTCAGTCAGAATATCTGCAGGCCTTTTTGTTATCTGAAGCTCAGGGTTTGCTATTGCCACCCATACCATGAAGCTTTAACTATATCCTAGCCAAGGATGGTGCAACCTTGATGGTGAGTTCAAGGCTATGGCTATGAAAAATGCTTGCTGAAGTGGCATCTAGAGAAAGAGCACCACCTTTAGTTCACATGCTTATATTTCTTTAGATTCCAATTTGATCTATAAATAATGCAGATGGATTTATGAACCTTCTCTGGAAATACTAATTGCTTTTCATAAGGATTTGTGGGGTTTTTTTAATATCATAAAGATGGCCATAATTCAAATCACCAGCTTGTATATTAAAATAAGCCTCTCACAACACTGAATTCTTTTTAACAGATTTGGAAAATGCCACAAAAACACCTAACTGTCCCAGTGGACCAGTGAAAGAGGAAAGAGGTGATCTTATCAAATTTTACAATACAATATATGTAGGAAGAGTGAAGTCATTTGCATTGAAATATGACTTGTCAAATCAGGACCATGTGGTACGTTTTACATTTTATTACTATATTAATAATTATAGTTGGTGTATTTTGCTAAATAAGTATTGCAGAGTTTAAAGTCTCACTGGTGCTTTATATAGTAGCATATTCACTGGCAATTAATTATAGAATGACTAGGAAATTAGTGAGTAAGGCTGTTATAGATCAGAGACCTGTGGTTTTATTGCTAAAAATTAGGTATACATATTGGCAAGGCTCAGTGGGAACAAGAAAATATTTAAAACAATTAATTTGGGTACTTGGGTATTTTTTTTCTGTTGCTTTTGGTTTCTCTTATTATATTATGAGTTGAGTGTTTTTCTCAAAGGAAATAAGTAGGCCTGGATCTTTAATAAAGGTAATACTAAGAAATGTTTATATAGACCCCAGTTTGGGCAGTAACAGTTGGACTGAGGAAGTGTTACCATTGTTTAGGCTGAGGTAGCTCCAGAAGACCAGGCATGGGCTATAAAACAGAAAGCTCTAGCTGGGTGTGTTGGCACACCTGTAATCCCAGCTGCTCGGGAGGCTGAGGCAGGAGGATCACAAGTTCAAAGCTAGCCTCAGCAACTTAGCAAGACCCTGTCTGTTTCAAAATAAAAATAAAAAGGGCTGGGGATGTGACTCAGTGATAAAGTACCCTTGGGTTCAATCCCCAGTATAAAAAAAAAAAAAAACAAAGGTGAGTTCAAAACAAGAAAAAAAAATTTTTTTTAATCTGATTTTTGGGTTACTTTAGATGGATGCTCCACCACTCTCTCCTTTTCCACATATTAAGCAACAACCTGGCTCACCACGCCGAATTTCTCAGCAGCATTCCATTTATGTTTCGCCACACAAGAATGGGTCAGGCCTTACACCAAGGAGTGCTCTGCTGTACAAGTTCAATGGCAGTCCTTCTAAGGTAAGGTGCACAGAGACTTCACTCCAAAACAACTTAAGTACGTGTACTTGTCGAAATTGGATTTCAGGGCTGGGATCGTGGCTCAGTGGTAGAGCGCTTGCCTAGCACATGTGAAGCACTGGGTTCGATCCCCAAAACCACATTTTTTTAAAAAAATTGGATTTCAAGCTAAGATTGTCATATAACTTTGCCAGAAAAGTTGGATTTCTAGTAACTTTACCCCCCAAAAAAATTAATAATAATAATAATAATGGCTTTCAAATTATCAGTCAGTAATCATTGATTCTGGTTTTGGTTTTTTGGTAAAGTTACTACAGATAAAATATCAACTGCTCCAGCTGGGCGAGGTAGTGCACGCCTGGAATCCCAGGGGTTCAGTAGGCTGAGGCAGGAGTATCACAAGTTCAAAGCCAGCCTCAGCAAAAGTGAGGGAGGCACTTAGCGACTCAGTGAGGCCCTGTCTCTAAATAAAATACACAACAGGGCTGGGGATGTAGCTCAGTGGCTAAGTGCCCCTGAGTTCAATCCCCAGTACCAAAAAAAAAAAATATATATATATATATATATACACACACACACACACACACATACATATAAACTGTTAACTATGGCATGTTTTCTGTAATAAGAACAGTATATTCAGGGCAGGGGTGCAATACAGTAGTGTAGTGCTTCCTAGCAGGCATGAGACCCTGGGTCTAGCACTGAAAAAAAGAAAGTAGAAAATAAAAAGGAGCTGGATATTCTGTTGAGATAATTTGATCTATTGCTTTTGGTGTGTTAAAAGAGTTCACTTCAAAAGTCCCATGAATATCCCTGTTCAAGAAGAGACCAGGAAGGCAGCATCTACAAGTGATCAGACATG